GCGGGGACGTTGATCCTGGCTTCATCGTTGTCATATTGTTGTGCTCGGAGCGTGGCAAGCCATGCTCCTGCCAAGTAGTGCGCAAGATCAAATAGGTACAAATCAGGGAAGGTGGCTGGGGCGCGAGCACGTGGAGGTTGCGGGGGAGCCAAATTCGGTTGGTTCACCCCACCTTGTACCTGATTGGCATTCATGTTACCCCCCTGTCTTCCAGCGGAGTGGCTTCTAGTTATTATCGGATCGCGCGTCTGCGCGTATCTCTTCCTATCTCGCCCCCGTCTAGGACTCGCCAGATTCGTTGACTGGAGGAGCCAGACCACTTGTCAATCCTCTGTCTTGACACGTGTCGACTCCGATACCAACCTCACGCCCAACGAGACTTTCCGTTTCGGAGTGTTAGGGGGCCCGAAAGTGCGAAAAGGGGTGTGCCAAGGATTTTAGGAAAGCGGGGCTGGAGTCCCAGGGTAAAACTGAGATCTCCGGTGGCAAGCTTAGGGGTAGTTGAGCAAGATGGTGGTCCCCGAGTTATATTGGGCTTCGGGAGACCGGGCTACCTCTGATATGATGGTCGACTTCGCGGTCAGTCCCGTCTCTGGTGGACCGTCGGTTCGCTATGGTTGTCGCGCTGTTCGAATAGCTGCCGGCGCTGCTCGGCCTCGACTCGGGTTCGTCAGATAAATCCTGAAGTTTGATACGCCTGGTGTTGTCGGCACTCCTCGCACGGTGTGCGGGGCCAATAGTGAGTGATGGAATTCCACGGTACGACCGTGAGCTGATGGTAGGGGAGGAGGAGGTGGAAAGGAGGAAAGTTGGTATTAATAACGACGAAGCCCGGATATATGTAATACTGAGTGTTGTCAGTATTTGGGTAATCCGGGCCCCGGGGATCGCTGGTTATGGCCAAGCGAAAGTCCCCTACGCACAGTCGGTCGCTCTCCGTCAGACAGGGGAATTCCGGGTTTCTGAAGTTTCGCCACCGCCTGAGATGTTCACCTTCCCAATATTCGCAATACTCCGGGTCCCTCATATTTTTACGATTGGTGATCCAAGAGGGGGGTTTTACAGCCATATCCGATTAGTGAACTTGGTCTCCCGCATCCTCATAATGAGTCAAGATCGAGATTGGCTCATGCAGATGCTCGCGTACGCAGCGGCTCGGTTTCCCCGAGATCTCGATCGTACGCGAGCGCGCACGTGAGCGGAAGCCGATCGGGCGCTGGTTCCTCACTCCGGTGTATTGGTTGTGTCCTACCTGCATGCAACTATTCTACCCATGCTATTTCAGGTGGGATCCAGTCATTGCATTCACATCCATGCCATTCATGTGACAAAGAGAAAGGAGAAAGACAATCGCCCTAGCATCAAGGGCCAACACATTACAACATTGACGATCAAAGCTAATGCTTAACCACAAACATCCCTAGCGAACGCTTCCAATCATAACGATGCAGACGGATACTAGAAAACGAAAAATTTGAACTAAACAGGCATTGCAGAACAGGGTTAAAAATCCGAAAAGATCACTCGAAGAGGGTTCACATACATTCCATGCATACACAAGGCAAAACGACAAAGAAAATTCAAAACGAATTACAAGGAAAGTCCGAGAGGGACGTAAAAAGATCGCCCAAAGTACAAACCAAAATTATACAGATGAATGAAAGAAGAGACCTCATCCCCCTCATAGTTGCTCTCTCTCTCTCTCTCTCTCTCTCTCTCTCTCTCTCTCTCTCTCTCTCTCTCTCTCTCTCTCTCTCTCTCTACATTCCCCGATGCGCGCAGTCCGTCGCCTCGCATCAATACAGAGTTGTCACCCCGCTTGGTTCGAGCATGCAAGCCAAGTTCGCCCGTGCGCCACAGTCTGTCACGGCCTACACGTCAACCCCGCATACCCGACACCAGCTCGTCGGGTCGCCCAACCCTCTCGTCGACTCACCTTTTCAAGCTGACTTATTAGCCGACCCTCACTGATTGTGCTAACTCCAAAGTTTATAGAGAGTCAGCTAATCGCGCTTGCGAAATTTATATCATGCATGCTTGCTCGATAGATACGGGATTAAGCCCGAGTGGTCAGAAGGAGAAGAGAGGAAGTGCCTACTTATGCATGGCCAGGCCGCGGCGTGGGGGATGTAGCCACTCTCCAGTCATCAATCCGGTCGTGAAGGCGGTTAAGCCAGTTAGAACAGATTATTGAGTATGCAAGACAAAGAAGGAGAAGAAGGCGAGCGAACATGAGGAAATCAAGAAAGAAGAAAGATACAGTTACAATCGCGCCCACCAAGAGCGACAGTTACACAGGATTAAGGGCGCGATCCAGTCAGAGCCCAATTCGTAGCGCAGCAAAGTGTGCGCAAGTGAGAAGCGTGGCACAACAAAATTTAGAGCGCCTAAATTCCTAGTCTAAATCCTAATTGCAGAAGGAAATTCCGAAAAGCCCAAAAACAATTCCTCAAGCCCGTAGGGTCCCGACATCAGTTAAAAATTCGAAAACGAAATTCCCGCACAATGATCGCGCTAAGAATTCCTAGTGCTAACAGCAGAACAACCGTTGCCCGTCGAGCTGAGGCGCGGTTACTCAATCGTCGCCGCGGGGCCTTCCCGTCATCGACCCGACAGATTCTCACAAAACACAAAAAGAACGAGGGTATCCATGCAACTTGTCCCGACCAACCCATCTTCTCCGCAGCTCACCCATCCAACCCGCCTCATTTCCCCAAGGCCGCTCCGCGCAGAAAGTCGCGTGATTATAGAAAATGGTTTGTCACAAGTGATCTCCAGGCAATGGGGTCCGGTAAGCCGAAGGCCGAATGCCGCGGCGCGTTAACGGGGAAGCGCCGCGGCCGATAGCTGGCGAAGCGCCGTGACCGATAGCTGGGCCAAGTACCGGTGGTTTAAGAATGGCCTCAATACCCAGCTTCGGCTTTGCTGGAAAGCGGGTCCAGCGTCCTAACAGGAAACTCATTTTGGCCAAGTATAACCTAAACCTAACCAAATTTGTGAGCTTAAGAATGGGCGGCATCCAGCAGCCTAGCTTAGTTAGTAAGGCACACAAGTGGCATTGAGGAGGTCTTGGGTTCAATTCCCACTGGCCTCATGTACCTTCCTGGGCAAGCTTGGCACCTGCCACCTAGAGATACGCCGTTGGTCCCCCCAGTGGCATTGAGCAGAGACTGCTGATGTTCATAGGGGGAGGGGAGGCACAGTGACTGGCCCATAGAAGAAGCACAGTGACTGGCCCATAGAAGAAGCACAGTGACTGGCCCTTAGAAGAAGCTCAGTCCTGATGCTACTGGCCCACCTGCTGTAGCAGATATCGCATTGAGCAGAGACTGCTGATGTTCATAGGGGAAGGGGACCGGAGGGGAGGGACAGTGACTGGCCCATCGAAGAAGCTCGGTCCTTATGCTACTGGCTGACCCCTGGCCGGGGGCAAGGTCCCACTTGCGCCGATTAGGAGATTTCGGCCGTTGATCTTTGCTATCTACGGTCAGTGTCTCTTAATTCGTGCAAGTGGGACCTAACCCCGGTATGGCCCACCTGCTGTAGCAGATATCGCACCTGCTGGGGGGTGCAGCTCCTTCATGTTCCCTCGCTGGAGGCTTGAGCACGGATGTGGCTGCTACGGGGTTCCCCTAATACTAAATGACAATAAAAATGGCCTGAAAGGAAAGGCCGTCCTGTCCAGATTCGACAGGTGGTTGGGTTAGCCTTTAAAAAACAAAAATGAAAAAAAAATGTTGGTCTTGAGAAAAAGAAAAAGAGAAAAGAAAAAAGAATGGGCGGCGCTTTTTCCCTCCGTGGTTTTGGGCCATATTTGCTCCTGCAGGCTACCCGCATAAGATCTGGTCTGCCACTTGGCGGTGTTGCCCGATTCCGATCGACCGCGTGCGGTGCCTCCGAAAGCGAGGAGTTTACCCGCCATCTGGCTAATCATGAGTTCATTTATACAATTCTTCACGAACACGTCATTGGTTCGAACGCCGCGAATACGCGGTAATAAGGCTGAACCCACTTCTTTTTCCCGCGCTGTGGCGGGATCACTGTCAAATTTCGGAGGGACCGGTGGGGCCTCTCGGATTTCCAGAGTCGCAGGCAGGTGCTCTTATCGAATTCGAGAGTTCGAGAGCGCGATGTTGACAGCGCTCCCGCCGTCTTCGGAACTCTCGAATCCGCCGGCGGGCTTCTGAGAGCTCCCGCGTTCGTTTTTCCAGAGCAGTGCGGGAAACCCACGCTGTCGGAAATCCGGGATTTATAAAAGAAATTTTAAAAAATCCGGGGATTCAACCAAGTAGCGTGGCCCAGTTGGTACACCCATGAACTGCTGAGAAACACGGCCGGGGTCGAATCCAGGAGCACCTGAATAGAACAAAACAGATCCGAAGGTCGTCGTCCGTTCCAAAAAAACGTAAAAGAAAAAAGATGGAATTCGGGAGGGGGGTGGTGAGGCCCTCTTTTCGGCAACCCCGATTGCCAGTCTATCGCTCAACCCCAAACAGTCTGTTGTTCAAACCCAGAGGGAGCCAAGCGGACCCACGCCTGCTTGTCTTCCTTCTTCACGGGGCACCCCTCAAAACGACACAAACACCCGTGAGCGGCCCTTGCGCAAGGGTGACACACAAAAAGAGGCGCCAAAAGTAAGGCGCCAAACGGCCAGTTTCGCGTTTTATACACCCCGCCAGCCGACTTCTGAGTGTCAAGAGGCGACGACCGACCGTCCACCTCTGGCGAGTGCGCCGCACGGGCGGACTTCCTAGTGGCAAGAGGCTGCGCCTGTCCCGCTGGCAGCTGCATCAAAGGCGCCGAGTGAATGAAAAGACGGTGCTGTTCGGTGAGTCGGCGGAATCCGCGGAGGTCACTCGTGGCCGCGGGTTGGGGACTCCAGCTGGTGGAACGCACTCCTATTTGTTTCTTGCGCCCATTCTTTCGACAAGTCGTTCTCCCAGTATAGGAGACCGAGGAGACCTGTACTCGCTTCTCAGCCATAGCGAGTTTGGCACTGCTCTGGCGATGAAAACCGGAGTGCGCAACTCATCGCTTTCCTGTTCCTGACTTCCGGAGGAGGGAGAGGATTGAGGGAGGGAACTGTCACTCTACCAGTAGATCTCAATTGTAGTTGCTCACGATTATGGCATACTACAGCAAGTCACCCTGGGGGGGGGGTGAGGAGAAGGGAAAATGGGGGGGAGTGGGAGAGTTCCCTTGCATCCGCATGGGTGAGAAAGCTCGCACGCCGCGGCCGATGGGAGGTCGCTTCATACGGTATCTTCCCCGATGGGTTGTTCAATGGATCGTCGAGCGGTCTATGGAGGGCAAGTCGGGTTTGAAGTCTGCGCCTGCTGCTAAGAAGACCGGCTTCCATAAAGTAACTCTGGGCATCTGCTTCGTCTTCGCCATGCTGTTCGTGATGAGTTACTCGTCGTCTCCTGAGGTGATCGCGTTCCTGGAAGTGTTGACTGCTCCTCTGACGCAAGTGGCAGGAATTTTCGCGACAGCTACGGAAGCATTCCGTTCGTTCAGGGCAACCTACGTGGCGCCGGCAATGCAATCGGTTATCAACGTGCTGATCATCGTGTTCGCCGTGCAGTCACTGGACACGCTGGGGATGACGCTCATCTCGTTTTACCTTTCGTTCACSGGTTGGAGACCTCCGGTGGTYGCTCCTATGAAGCAACCGCGCTCTTCGGATCCGGAAAACCCGACGAGCAAGACGGAGACAAYTTACCCGCGTGTGATGATCCAGATCCCGATGTTCAACGAGCGGGAGTGCTACAAGATATCGATCGGAGCGTGCTCGCAGCTCGATTGGCCGCGTGACAAACTCGTCATCCAGGTGCTGGACGACTCGAATAACGAAGAGATCAAGGAGATGGTGAAGGAGGAGGTGAGCAGATGGCAGAGCCAGGGCGTTAACATYGACTACCGCCACAGAGTCGATCGGACGGGGTACAAGGGCGGGTCTTTGAAGGAAGGCATGAAGGCGCCGTACGTGAAGGAGTGCGACTTTGTGGCTGTGTTTGACGCCGATTTCCAGCCAMGACCTGAYTGGCTGYTGAGGACGGTGCCRTATTTCAAGGACGATCCGAAGCTCGCTCTCGTTCAGACGCGCTGGGAGTACAGCAACCAATTCTGCAAYCTGCTGACGCGCTTCCAGTTCATCAACATGTCTTATCACTTCCAGGTGGAGCAGCAGGTCATGGGAGCCACGATGGGCTTTTTCGGTTTCAACGGAACTGGCGGCATCTGGAGAATCGCAGCCGTKAACGAGTGCGGAGGATGGGATGTGAGGACKACCGTCGAAGATATGGACATCGCTGTCAGAGCGCACATCCACGGTTGGAAGTTCGTCTTCCTGAACGACGTGCGCGTGCCTTGCGAGCTGCCTCAGACTCTGGAAGCGTACACGCGCCAGCAGCACAGATGGCACGCTGGGCCGATGAACCTGTTCCGGCTGCTGTTCAAGAGAATCTTGACGTCGAAGGCGTTGACGCTGGCGAGCAAGTTCAATCTGATCGTTCTCTTCTTCTTCGTCAGGCGTCTCCTCGTGCCCACGGTGAATTTCATGCTTTTCGTTCTCCTCCTCCCGCTCTCCCTATTCGTCCCCGAAGCTAACATCCCGATCTGGGTCACGTACACGTTCCCCATGTTCTTGTCCTTCTTCAGGATGCTCCTGTGCCCGGCGCTGTTTCCGTACATGTTCCCGTACCTCTTCTTCGAGAACACTATGGTCATGACGAAACTGAGCGCGAACGTCCAGGGCCTGTTCCAGTTCGGCCGAGTGAACGAGTGGATCGTCACGCAGAAGGTCGGAGCGTTGGCCAAGCCCGGAGAGGCAGTCGCGGCCAAGAAGAAGAAGTCTATCAAGATCTTCAAGCGAGAGCTGGCCATGTCCATATTCCTTTTGCTAGCGGCGATCCAGAGTCTGGCGATCGAGAAGGGCATCCACTTCTACATCTTCTTGTTCCAAGGGCTGACCTTTTTCGCTTTCGGATTCGATCTGCTCAGCGACCACAACTAATCAAGGCGGGAGCTTTGGTATTCATTTCGCGCAATAATATGTTCCCTATTTGGGTGGTTTCTCCTCGTCAATTTAACATTATGCGGGTGCATTTACTAACCAATTAACTTATCGAGGAGTAGCGTGCCCTGCCCAATCGGGTAGTGAAGTGAGCGACGCACTACAGCGATCGGCCGATCAGGTGCGTAATGCCACTCTTAGCTTTCGCCACTTCCAGCTTTTCGTCTTCCTCCGTCATTTTCTTGTACTACCGGATCCGTCACCCTCGCATGAGTACGAGAGCATTCAGTGTGCTGATGTAGCCGGTTATGTTAAGTACAAGCGAGACGAGGGAATGGTGATGATGGTGATGATGATGATGAAGATGATGCTGATGAGTTTCGGGAAACCTGCTAACCTTCTGACGCTATTTGTATTTCGGGGCCCTCGGGGGCTGAACGTTTTCCGCTCGTGTACACGACCTGTTGAGCGATCTTGTTATTAAATCAGTGTAGGATTTCGTTAGTTAACTTATGTTATGTCTGTTGCTGTGACGATGGGCGTACTCATCGACGTATCACGCTCTGGCAAGCGGGTGGTGAATGGAGTGATGAGCAGCGATCTTTCAAGCCGGCGTTCTTTCGGTCCTTCCCCCTTCTCGCAGTCTCGTTCATCACCGACTGGAAGTGCTAGTCAATCGACTGGCCCGGAATTTGACGATGAAAAATGTTCGTTAGCCAGGACGGTGTTCGGTTCTGTGATTAGCTGCTCGTGGCTATGCGTCGTGATGTGTCGTTTTATCATTGTCTAGTGTTGTCGTTCATTCTATTATGTTTTCTCTCGATGATGACGATGATGACGATCTCTCGATGATGACGATGATGACGATCGTGATGAATATTGGTCGGGATAATTATTCCGTGCAGCAACGACACATTATTTTCTTTCGCACACAATTATGATCCTTTTCTTTCGTTAGAGTATGATGTTTTATTTTTCTTTGGTCACATGATGATGATGCCTTTCTTTCGTCACATGATGATGCTTTTCTCTCGTCACATGACGATTATGGTGATGATGATAATGGTCACATGATGATTATGATGAGGCGTGCAGGTCTGTCGAGGATGATGATGATGAGGCGTGCAGGTCTGTCAAGAATGATGATGATGATGATGAGGCGTGCAGGTCTGTCAAGAATGATGATGATGATGATGGTGATGAGGCGTGAAGGTCTGTCAAGAATGTTTTCCAATGTGTCGGTTTTTATAGGTGGATAGTAGTTAGCTGTTTGACACGATGTCGGCGAAACGAATCGTGTAGGCCAGCAGCTTCGTCTTCAATAGTATCGTGCTGAAGTCATCAGCTTCGGAAAGAACTGTTGGTCGTGAAATTGGACTCGAGGTGGGACCGAGATCGAATGCGCCATTCCTAGGATGGGTGATCACAGGTGTCGGGTTAGTTTTGACGATGTCGCAGTTCGGTGTTTTTGAGGTCCTCGTTGAGGTGTGACGAATTCCGATCAGTTGGCTTCTTCGCGGGGTGATTTGTATTCGACGGTAACACGTTCATTTCATCGTCAACTTGGTCGACTGTCGGACTGCTAAACTAAGGCATGGTGCTTTCCCCTTGAAGATTGCTGTCGTGCTGCTTCGCTCAACGATCGTGTTCTGTATGTCTGCATACAACACGTTGTTTCGTTCTCCGTTTGATTCTCTTTATGATTCCTATCCTCCTTTACGTGTCTCGATGTCGATTCGCTGGTCATTGGTGGGTACTCTACATTGTTTGTGATTTCTCGACATCCACCGCATGGCAGCTTTCTTGATCCCTCTTCTTCTGCACGCGTTCTCCTCAGTTCTTCGCCCATGATGATGATGATGATGATGATGATGATGATGATGATGATGAGAATGATAAGGATGTGAGGATGATGATGACGAAGATCAAAACGGAAAAGAGTGTTGATATTGTGGCAAGTTCACAACTCCTTGGACGGGCGGATCGTCGTGTACTTGTCGGTTATTATGGTTAAGGGGCAGAACAGGGGGAGGGAATCCGTCGTTAATGCTTCCGACCCTCTGAGAGTTGAGCAGCAGGGACGCGACGGTTGAAGGATGGAACTGGCGTTTGGAGGATGAATGAATGATTGGGTGAATGGAGGTTGTCATCGATTGTTTCACGTTGAAGATCATTACCATCGGACTGCTTGTCGGCAGCGAAGAATTTGAAGGACGAGAGGCTGCTAAACAGCGAGAAAGGCGAAACTTGGACGGATGAATGAGCAATCGATTGATCTAGTGAACGGTTAATTGGGAGAGATGGTCTTACTTCGGAGGGCAAGTGCTTGGACGTACGTTGAATATTGCCAAGAAATGGAGATGTGTATAAGAGACAGGAAATGGGCTGCCGATCCAACGACTACCGTGGGAAGGATGGGAGCCTTGCCTCATGCATGATGTTTTGTTCGAAGTCGTACAATCGCAGATGAGCGCTTCTTCTATCTAGGATTTGAATGGTTGCACTACCGTCTTCCCCCGAACATAACGCACCCTAAATATGAATGTATACAAGCTATATTTCCGGCCATTTACAGCCAAAATGAGGGTGCGCTGTGTTCGGGGGAAGACGGTAGTTTATTATCGCCTCTGTAACCTGAGCTCTCGTTTATTTCCCGCTCTTTCCGTTTTCTCTGATTTACCGTTGAGAGGGTTGTGTAGGGAACGGAAGACGAGGTGCATTGTTCGTGTCGAATTTGGAATTTAAGCAGTTTCTTTTCTGATGTAGGTGAGATGATGATATGATGTGCTCCGATTGAATTTGCTCGCTGATGCTTGTGCTTGATCATTGTGCTCAGTTTAGTTTTGCGCGCTGAGAATATGGCTTGTCGATCCGTGGAAGGGTAAGTTGAAAACGCGGGTGAGGGAGAGCAGATTGACGGTCGTGATGATTGCTTCAAGACGAGGGAGAGAGTATTGCAGGAGGAGATGACACTTGCCAATCTATATTCTTCTTGCCCTGAGAGTTAAGTAATCGGCAGTCGAATGCCCAAGAAAGATGGCAGAGGTAGGTGTGATGTACCTGAAAGTTTTTTGAAACTACTCGCCGGTCTTGATGGCTGGGATTTACCTGGGAATGACAGCTGGCGATCTGGCAAAGGAGAATGAAGTAATGTTTTGAATGGATCCTCGGTATCGTGTTTACAACAGTAGATGTGATTGGTCAACGATCGAGGGACTGCCTTCGCTATCCCTTCGCTAGTCGTTGAAATAGTGGCGCCTTCTTTCTACTATCGATTTTTTCCTGCCGACGGTTCTTGGAGAGGGGTAGCGTTATGCGATTTTGCTCAAGCGTTGCACGGCTTCGGTCACCCTTTCACATTCCGAAAGGGCGGATCAGATTCAGAAGGGTATGCTGGTGATGGAAATGCTCTGGTTCGTGCAGACGAGTGTCTCTTATTTGCCGGGGAGGGGGTTTTGCTAGTGCGCCCTTGGGATGGGGTGCGTGAATAATTCTTTCAGGTTGGTTGGTTCGGCTTGTTTTTCACTATTTTTCGTCTTCTGAAAGGAACCCCATTCGCAAGACCTCCTCTATCTCAGCGGTGGTCATCGAACAGCCAGATTGAGGTCTTGACTGTCAGGCTGCTCCATCAATTGGTTGGTGGGGGGAGCAATACCTGCTGGAAACCGGGTACAGCGTCCCTGAGCAACATCGTCGTCGTACGGGTCCAGCTTCCCTGAGCAACATCGTCGTCGTACGATTTATATTCGGAACCATCGGTTGGTACGGCTGGTAATTGTGCCGATTGTGGATACCTATTTTTTGGAGCTAATAAAAGTTTCTCACCTAATTCATTGTCTTTCTCTCCGTTGTCACCAAGACGAGGTAAGAAACCAAATGGCAGGCCACAGGGATTGTTTGCCCCTTTGATTTTCTTGCCGCCGAATCCGGTGTTTGATTGCGTGGCGTTCAATGTGCTTCTGGCTGGTGTTTGAATGCGTGGCGTTCAATGTGCTTCTGGTTCCGTTCGTCATTCTTGATGATTTTTTTTTTTTTTTTTTTTGCAAAAACACAATCATTATATTTCAAAACAATCATTCACTTGAGGCTGGGGACCTCACAATTCTACCCGGGGTTATCCCGGCAGCATCAGCCGGTTTAGCTTAGTTGGAAAACTTTCTCAATCATCCATCCAAAATGCATAGAAAGATACAACATTACCCTCCTTACTATTGTATTTAACTAATTATCATCTAACCCGAATATCCGCATCCCTATTCTTGATGATTTTCCTCGTATCATAGAATTGCGTCTTTTTACAGTGATTTGGTTTTCAGTTCGGTCATGTTTTTGGTGCTCGGTACTATGTTATTTCTCTCGTCTTGGGGTCTCGCCGCATGGCACACGAAATGAAAACGAAACGAGTGCATCTGCACACGAAAGGTGGCAAAGTGCACTCGACACTATTTATAGTAAACCGATGAACCTGGCCATTTTCTGCAGGAAGATGCACTCGTTTCGTTTTCATTTCGTGTCCCTTGCGGCGACGCCCTTAGATGTTTGTTTCCTTCTCTGTTGATATCGGTGTGTGCATGCCGTTCACTCCATGAACGACCTGGTTGGTTGGATGGTATTATCATCGTTGTTTGTTGCTACCCTCTTCACCCCCAAATAGAACGTCCGGTCAATCTAGCTATGGTTGGGGCAATTTGTATTGTACATACAGGGGTGTAATAACCGGGCGTTTCCCTTTAGTACTAAGTAGATGCGGTTTTCACCGCGCTAATGTGAAGAAGCGAGTCTTCGGGGCAGATCCCACTGGCAAAGAGGATTGGAGTAAGTGTCTGAATCTGGACATGTTCCACGCACATGCAGGAAAGTCGATCATCCACAATTTTTCGTACCTGTCCACAAACACGTCCACGTTCAGCCATTTCATACAATCCTCTTTGCCAGTGGGATCTCGCCCTTATTGCCTGGCGATTGCTATTTCTAACGTGACGTGCCGGCGACTACCTTCTTCCCCCGAATACAACGTACGGTCATTATAGCTGTAGTTGATGTATCTTTCAGTCCAGATACAGCTATAATGACCGTACGTTGTATTCGGGGGAAGAATGTAGGTGCCACTTGTCTGAATGTTTTCAAAACGAAATTCCGAACGAAAAATCTGGCAAACTGGAATGTTCTTTTTTTTTTTTTTTTTTTTCAGATATTAAACTGATCAGAACATACACTACACTTGATCTTAGCCAAAAGGCCGAGAAAGGAATACTAATTGGAATGTTGCCACGCGTGCTCGGCGAAAGGTGGATACGCTGCTGGTTGTCCCGACGCTTCGTCCTCGGGCACAGTGGATCGCGCTACGATTGTATCCTCGACTGCATGTGTGTCGAGGGCGAGGCTTCGCTCAACTACCGGTAGTTTCCGAATTGAAACGGGAAGTCATTGATCGAGAGAGTCGTCAGAATGATTATTCCGGAGCACTCTGCGGCCAAGTCCCGCTAGCAGTGTTGAGTTTCCTTAAGACACGAATCTGGACGTGTTTGTGGAGATGTGGGTTGAGGTAACTTGAGCCTATTTTTCTGTACGTTTGTACGAGCACGTCCACATTCACGCGTTGAGGGAACTCAACGGTGCTAGTGGGACTTGGCCCCTGTAAAGTCGGAACGGTGCTAGTGGGACTTGGCCCCTGTAAAGTCGGAGAGGATGCGTTCAAACTCCGGAAAATCCACATTCACGCGTTGAGGGAACTCAAGGTTGCTAGTGGGACTTGGGCCTTAGTAAAAGTCAGAGAGGCTGCGTCCAAACTCCCGAAAATCCTCATTCACGCGTTGAGGAAACTCGACGACTGTCTGATAAACCACATGGCCAAATGACGAAGGTACCGAGGTTGGCCAGCATCGAAGACCAAATGGCGGTGTCATTTGTCCAGAATGCTGCCCAAATGGCGGTGTCATTTGTCCAGAATCCGTCCTCTAACACAACCTGAGAAAAAAAAAAAAAGTATTGCGGTTGGCGGCCTCTTGGCCTCCATTTTCTTTCTTTCCATTTTTCAACTCTGCAGGCTGGTGACTCTCGTTTTTGTGGAGCACTCTCGACTACTGTAACCTTGTCCAACACTCGATTTTTCAGAACCGCGGTCGCAATCAAGAGTGCAGTCGAGCGAGGTGGATACTCTCAAATACCAAAAACTATGAAATTCCTGAGACTGACAGCTGTCCACTTGCTCTCGCCTCCGAACCGAAACGAGAGTAGTGGAACGACACCCAATTTTCGTTTGACTTGCTCTCAATTTCGAATCGAAACGAGAGCAGTGGAATGATGAGACCCAACCTTTGTAACCGAAATTAGCAACGAGGCGTGTATCATGAAGGGGGGACCATCGCGACGTTTCGGTGCCCGATGTTTATTTCGTCCTTTCATCGCGTGTGATGAACGTCTGTTGTCTCATCACGCGTGAGCAACTGCTGTTGTCGAAAGGTGGATTGAGGGCAGGAGCGAAGCGGGCGTCGGTGGGTATGCAGCGACCGTCCTAGCGAGGGCAGCATCGAAGCCGGCTGGTGTCGGGAGATATACTGGAACCATCCTCCCTCGGCACGGTCATTATGGCTATAGCGTGGAGCGAAACTTGGCCCGTATAAACATAAAATGATCGTGCGGTTTATTCGGGAGAAGACGTAGGCGGGCCAGGCGGGTCTGCCTGCTTCGCCCACACGGGAAGGAGCAAAGAAGCGAAGAAGTGGTCAGAAAAATTAAATAAAATAAAAACAAATCAGGACTTGCAATCCGGTAATCAGGGAAAGAGCAAAGAAGCAAAGAAGTGGGCAGAGGTACACAGGGAAGGAGCTAAGAAGCAAAGAAGTGGGCAGAGGTAGGGCATCATAACGGCGGCCCTGAACATTGTTTCACGAATGAAGGCGGCCAACAGGTCCTGGAGAGAAAAGTGTGCCGAGCAAGCAGTAAAGGAGGCCGAGGGGAAGATGGGTACAGACCCCTTCTCGGATTACTACTCGGCACAGGAAAGGAAATTAAACCAGGCCTCTGATTTTAACCATTCCCTCGGTTCCTCCTGTTTTTTTACCTCCGAGGCCTAATGGGCTACGATAGAATGACGAAGATCACTTCTAGATCCTTGTCCTGCGTCAGTCAAAACCGGTATTGAGAGAATTGGCACACCCCGCTGATAGAAATGCTCCCTCCCATAGAGGCGATGTGCAATTATGCCAGACATTATTTTGCTGATATGCAAAGCTGATGGCCATAGGCAAATGCTCAGGGATAGACGGGCTACCAATTAAACTCTTCGGCCTTCGGCCGTTTTTTTTGCCAAATCCTCTCCAGACAGGGAGTCTACCAAAAGGGTGGCTCATGGGGGAATCCTCTCTCCTATACAAAAAGGGGGATAAGAAAGAGGTGAAAAATTATAGACCTTTCTCAATTTTAAACGGAGCTTACAAGATCTTGGCAAAGGCCGTGGCTATCAGACTGGGTAAGTTTCTGCCCCAACACATTGGTTGGGAACAAGGGGCTTTTGTGAAAGGAAGGATGATCTGTGATGCCCAACCTCACGCCCGGCGCGACTTCCTGATCGGAGTGGGATGTGGGCCTGGAAGTGCGAAAAGGGGTGTGTCAAGGATTTTTGGGAAAGTGAGGGGTGGAGTCCCAGGTCGGAACTGAGATCTCCTGTGACAGAGTTTCAGGGGCATAGGTGCAATAAGGCTAAGGGGTGGGTTACTTCCGGTCTGATGGCGGTCGATGTCGTGCTGCATAAGGCAGATGGCATGCGCAGTGCGTTCAGGGCCCGTCCGATCCATTGGTTTTGATGGCGGTGGTTCGGGGAGATGCCTGTCCGGGGTGGTTGTGATTCCTGTGAGTCAGACCTTCGGGTGCAGACACGTGGCGTCGGTCGCCGCGTGTTATAGTTAGTCTCCGTAGTTCCCGGGGTTCGGTGGTGACTGCGTCGTCTGCAGTTTCTGCATGGCGTGCGAGGCCAATATGGGGTGATGGAATTCCACGGTACCACTGTGAGTTGGTGATACGGGAGGAGGATATGAAGTATTGCGTGTTATACGTAGTTGGGTAATCGGGGCACCTCGGTTCGCTAGTTATGGCATAGTGAGACTCCCTGGGGCATAATCGGTTCTCGATTAGGCAAGGAATTCCGGGCGTTCTTGCCTAAGATTTTAGAGCGTGCATGCATGCGCGAAGAGCCAAATATTTATAGCGTGCATGCATGCGCGAATTCCTTGCTCGTGAGCCGACCCTCACTGATCGCGCTCCCCGAGCTTCCAATAACTGGTTAAGAGAGCTATCTAATCGCCAGCCAAATATTTATAGCGTGCATGCATGCGCGAAGAGCGCGGAATCGCAAGGACTTAGAAGAGAGGAGGGAAGGGATCGCCTGTGTCCTACATGATCAGAAACCGGCGTGGGGGATGTAGCCACTCTCCACGCGTCGATCCGAACATGTAGCCCGTGGGGGATGTAGCCACTCTCCACGCGTCGATCCGAACATGCACCCTGTTGTGTTTTCGCCCGGACTTTATTTGAATGGTCATTTAAAAAAAGTACTGAGTATTTTATTTTGAGAGTTGCACCGCGGCGCCACGCACACCCAAGCTGTTGTGTTTTCGCCCGGACTTTATTTGCATGGCTAAAGCGAGGGGTGTGAGTGCAGAGAATGGTTGAAGTTCGCCCCGTGTAGTGCATGGACTTTTGGTTGAATCTTTTATGTGATTGCAGGTATGTTTGGTGATTTGGACTTTGGATTTGACTGTCTGCGCTCACATACATATATATGGCTGATAGGAGTCTCACTGTGATTGTGAGAAGTGATCGACACATATT